AACTACCTATGAGCTGTTCCAGGCACCATTAGTTATAAAAAACTGTATAAAAAAAATCAAAAAAATTCCTCGAAGTAATTTGTGCAAAACACATATTCTATCAAATACGGTTAAGATCCAGCAGTCAACTTAAATTCTGGAGTTTTTGGCAAACAATAAAGGCAGAAAAAATGATTAAACAAGAACCAGAAACTAGAAGTCTTGATACAGATGACTTAAATCTCTAATCACACTTTCAAAACTACTGCAAATTTTTCCAAAAAAAAAAAAAAAAAACAATTTCCTGTGAGACCACTGCCATGATTGCCACCAGAACATATCCACTTTATAAAAAAGTTTTACGAACTCTTCAAACACTGTTGATAACCTACAGGTGCTTTCTGTCGGTCTAGAAGAAATTCTTTCATGAAAGTCCTTTTGCTTCAAGTTCCGAACAAAGAGCGCCTTGAATATAAAGCGTACAACCCGCAGAAGTTTGCAAGCTTGATATCAAGACCATTACGTTTATCATCTCCTAAATCTAAAATGTCACTTTATATCGCTCAACTATTTGTAGACTACAAACTTCAAAAAAAACTATTGTTTTCTTGCCCTTTTTAGTGGACTGTTAAACACTGCCTGTAAAGTTTACACTTCCGCTTGTGTAGTGGACAAAAATTTTGCCTCAATATTATTTGTTCTACACAACACTACCCAAGACTAGCTTTGCTTGCTGTAACTGCACAAGATCTCCGTTTGATTACCAAGCATTTCATTAAAATTAAGAGTTAGTAGTAGTAATGAGAAACTGCAATCAAAACGACTCTACAAAACACCTAAGATAATGGTAGAAAAGTAGCATTAGGCTAGAGCATTCAATGAGTTACAAGTATGCAACGTTAAAATATGATTTTTGGATTTCAATAACTGAATTTCATCATACTATGATCAAAGTAAACTTTAGTTGAAGGCCCTGTAATTGACCAATTGTGACAGCGGCGACTGACACAACGATCCCATTTATTGCTCCAAAAAACAATTTTTCTTGAAAACACTGACAAAAACACTTGAGAAGACGCAACTTGCTTTTAGATTAACAATATGAAACTTTGATTGATCCAGAATCAACTAACTTATGCGACACTGCCGCCTACTCAACTAAAAAAAATGACAACATCTTGATATGTAGCAATCTCATCTTACACTCGTTAGGCGACTTACCGCCAAGGGGGAATACACAATTTCTTATCGACGCAGGCTAAATCTTCCTTTTAAACACTGTCCTTTTGACTGTTGCTGACCCGACAAATAAATAATAACCAGCAGCAAAGAAAGTAGCAAGTTTTTATTGTTCTCATCTTAGATTGTTTTATAAGTTTGTGAGATTAGTGACTGCAAAGACTACAAAGGTTACGTAAAGTGCCAAAACTGAATGAAAAAAAAAATCATTTAAGAATATACTTCTTTGTCAGACTAATATTAACTTTAAAAAAATTCTAATGAACTGTTAAGACGAAATTCTCTAGCAGATTCAAATAGCAGTAGATGCCGGGATTGGTTGTTGCACAAACTGGGTTCCTGCTCCTATACATTAAGCAAATGCCATTCTCTGTTTGCCTGTCAAAGAAAAATATTCTTTGAAAGTTTGCAGTCATTTCGTTTAAAACCTTAAATTGATAAAGAGCGTGCAAATGCATTATTCACATTTCTATAGCACCAATTCGCAGATTACAAGTCTTGCTAAAGGGTTCGCACCGTACTTGTACCTACACAGTATTACTTTTTTAGCCCATCGTTAAAAGGAGTCCACGTGTTTAAACGGCAGATTAACTTAGGCCCAAGTAGCGTTAATAAGATACAGCTAACGATTTGAACCTTCGAAAAATCCTTTTACATGTCATAAAGCAAACTCAAAATTGCGTCTTACAAATCATAACAACTAAATTAGAACAAAATTTTAAACTCTCTTCTGTAGTTTCGTAGGCTAGGCACATAATTAAGAAATATTTCACATTAAAATTGGCAAAGAGTTATAAGAAGGCAGAATTATAAAAAAGCTCCTCCTTTCTACTTGAGAAAGTTTGCTGTCAGACACAAGAAAATACAGCTTTATCTAAGTGTTTTGAATGTGGTTTTTATAATCTATTAAAGATTAATATAGAGACTTAAGTGATCTTGATTATGAAATTTTTAATGTACCAAATTGTCAGTTGACACATTTCAAAAAAGTACTGATTTCCGCAACCAATATTGTCTTTAATCTAATAATGCATTGTCGCGGTCACTTTAATTCCAAGCCTTCCGCTCGAAAGAAGGTGATTGAGAAAAAAGAAAATTTTTGAGCAATGAGGAATCTCCAGTAGGAAAGAAGAGCCGAAGAAGAAAACTGCTTATCCTGCAAAGTCGAATTACAGAGGTGCTAATACTGCTGTATACTCGAATACCGCATATGTTGTAATGCATAGCTGAGGTGTCTGTGACAGATATAAAACCAAAGCAAAATGCTTCAAAAGCGCTAAAATGGATTTATGATTTTGTCCTCCTTGAAATAGTTTTTGTTGTTAATTCTGTTCAACCAAACGACTGTCGTCGCCCAAAAATGCAACATTGAGAAGTGAAAAGTAGAAGCAAAACGACAGAGAAATGAGTAATCTATCAGAGAAAAATTTTCTAAGAATACTCTTCGCGTGATAATATGCCTAAAGCATTTACACAACAGAGGTTGAATCAACGGTTCCAGATACCTTAAAGACAAAATTATAGGAAAAAGTGAATTAAGAACCCAAAAAGCTATTATTTAAAAGATTTTTTTCATGTAACACCAGTTTTCAATGTGAATCATTTTTTAGTAGCTGAACGGTCTCTCTGCTAAGCTTGTTATAGTTCAGTTTTTGATTTTAAATTTTCTTTAGAATACACTACAACAATTTCATCTCTATTTCTACTGGTTTAAAAGATTTCGTTTCTAAAATTTTTT